TTAAATTTTTATTTAAAATTTATATTCCAAAAGTAAAAAAATAAAAATTAACAAAGGGAGTAGCTTTTTTCTAAGGATAATACCATTAAACACATATATTGTCGTCTCTAAATTTTTAATTTAAAAAAATTCTAAAAATAATAATTATTTAGAAATAGAATAAGTAATTAAGTGTCTATTTTGTTATTGAATGTTCTGGAAAATACGAATCATTGTTAGGTGTTTAATTCAACCTCTTAAAGGAGACTTTTTGCAATACCAAAGCTGAAAATCGGTCAATTGTAATTTTTTTTTAAGACTTCTTACTTTTCTAATTTAAATCCATTTTTTTTATAATTTTTAGTATATAATAATTCATGATCCAGGGTGCCTACTTAACCAACAGCACTTTTATCAATTTCTCTCATACATAATTTGCTTTTGTTGCTAGGAAAAGTATATTTATTTAGAAGATGATTGTTCTACACTTATCTTAATACATTTTCTAACATTTGTTTTAGTTTAATTATTAAAAAATATATAATATAAGTATAGCTGATTTAATTAATTTTTACATTTTGTATGCATGATTACATCAAGTCCGTTTGCTTTTAAATTCAAACTAAAATATTAGTGATTTTTTAATTAGTATATTGTATAATGCATTGAATTAGAATATATATTAATCAATGTTTTTTTTTTTATAATTAATTAATTAATTTATTTATTTATTTATTATATATAAACAGAGAGAGGTCAAGCTCCATTATGAGCTCATTTTCATTGCTGCTGGAAATGTGGGAGAAATGGGATGTGAAAGGGATGGTTCTTTTTAGTCTCACCTTACAAATCATCCTCTCTGTCTTAGGTAGGCATAGAAAATACCAAAATAACCAATTCTTCAAAACCATTTTATGGTTTGCCTACCTAGGTGCCGATTGGATTACCATTGCCACTTTGGGCATACTCTCTGGCTCCCATGCAGAATCTACCGCCACCAATGTCTTTAGAGCATATTGGGCTCCTTTACTTTTGGTACATCTTGGTGGCCCTGATACCATCACAGCTTTTGCTTTTGAAGACAACAGGCTTTGGATTAGGCACCTCGTCATCCTTGTTGTCAAAGTCATTTTTATCATTTATGTTGTTTGTTTGTCGTGGACCCTTTCTTGGCTCTCGTTTTTGACTATCCCTCTCATCTTAGCTGGAATTATTAAGTATGTAGAGAAGATATTGTGTCTCAAGCTGAATAACTCACAGAAAACAAAACCAATAATTTCTAATATATTTAATCTTCAAGCTCATTCTGACCCCAGTAAGGAGCAAGCCCTTGATCCCCGTCATAAACAAATTTTGGCAGGTTATCTCTTATTTACAATTACAAGACTTGACGTCAATGATTACCTCTCCTCCCAAAATCTTTCCGATGTTGGAACAAGGATCAAAGCTTATCTCAAGGAAACTACAGGTGTAGACAGTAGTAAAGCCTTAGACTTTGCAAGGAAATATATTAATATCAGAGGTGGCGAAGAAGCTCTTGAAGTATTGTCTATTCAACTAGGATTCATGTTTGATGTTGTTTACACCAAAGCTAGTCTGATTCACACCAAGTTAGGATGCTTCTTGCGCCTTACCAGTTTCACTACCTGTTTCTCAGTTCTACTGCTCTTCTTTATCAGCATCGTTAATGAGCCAAAATTCCATGGCTCAAAAATTGATATTTCCATAACTGGCATCTTATTGAGTGGAGCTATTGCACAAGAACTTTATGCAGCATGGGTAGTGCTTTCTTCTGATTGGGCGGTTCCTGTTGCGGAATTTCATCAGAATGTGTTGGTACGCAAAGTGTTTAAGGTCTCCTCAAGGTACTTCACTTGGTTATTGCATCAACGTAAAAGGTGGTCAAATCAAATGGGTCAATTTGATTTGTTGGAATATTGTTGGCGTTACAAGAAAAGGAAGGGAAACCAATCACATGGCTCTCTACCAAAGATCACTATTGGCAGTGAAATTGCTGAAACGTGGCACAAATACTGGTTTACTAAATTTGTGGATGTTCCACATTTTTTGCAACAAGCAAACTGTTACCTTCAAATCTTGATTGAATTCTTTTCAGGGAACTGCATAAAGATAACAAGAGGAGAAAAGGCGTTGCAGAGATGTTCACAACTTGATCAACTAAAATGGAGCATTGAATTCGAGTTTGATCACAGCATCATAATATGGCATCTTGCCACAAGTGTTTGCTACTTACAAGAGGATAGTCATGATGATGAAGCCATGAAAGTTAGTAAACATATATCAGATTACATGATGTATCTACTTACCATGTGTCCTGCCTTGCTATTGTCCGAGCATAGTAAGAGTTTTTGGCTTGATCATGCTTATGACAACCTCAAAGAACTTTTGTCTCTTGCAACTGACATAAAAGATGCTGCTTCCAAATTACTTTCCAATCCAGATAATGTTCATGAAGAGGAGCATGAATCCAGGTTTGATGTTAGAAATTATAAAATTAGAATTAAAGTAGTTTTATTTCTTTCTAAAATTCCTTCTTCTTCTTCTTTTTTTTTTTGTTTATTCCCTTAAGCTGCAGGGAGGGAACTTTTGAAAACCTAAAAGGACAAGTGTCGGAACTGGTCACATTTTTAAAGCGATCAGATAATAAATGGCAGATGATTAGGGATGTCTGGTTAGAGATGCTTTCCTATGCAGCATTTTCAAGTCAGCACGTTAATCACATTAAGCAGCTAGGAGAAGGCATTGAATTTGTCTCACTCATTTGGCTTTTCCTAGGCCCTTGCATTTTATTGGAACCTTTGTTTGAAAACGTTTTGGTTTGAAAAACTCGTCTTTAAAATGTAGTGTGACCAACATCTGCAAACTTGGCGGCCTTATGTCTCATGTTTGAATTACATACTTCAAGAAGTGGCAACACAATTATGTTACTTTCCTAAATAAATTTGTATCTAGTATTTGTTGTAAACTTTGATTTGTATAATTAAGGTCTTAAATGGTCAAGTTTAACACAATCTATGTTATTTTCTTAAATAAATCTGTATTTGATATTTGTTGTAAACTTTGATTTGTATAAATTAAGCTCTTAAATAGTCAAGTTTAAAAATAAATGTTGTTTTTTAAGTCTTTATTTAATATAGTTATAGTTTTGAGTTTTTAATTTTAATTTTATAAAAATTTACAAACCCTCAAATAAAATTAAACTGTTCTATAAATTAATTAAATTTAGGATTTTAAGTATTTATTTTAAAATTTTATACTCAATAAACTAGTATTTTTAATTTTTAATTTTTAATTTTAAATGTTAATTTTGATTGTTTAAATTTTAAAAAGTAAAACAAAAAAACTCAAAACCATTGTTATGCAATTTTCATAGTTTTAATGTTGATTTTAGTTTATTTGTGTAGGTAAATTTACTAGACAATTATAGGAAGTTACTTGCAATGTTTATATTGTTTTTTTCAAATTTTTACTGCTCAATTGATAGGGTTTATTGTGGTAGCATATATATTAATTTAGCTTATAAAACTTTTGGCGGGATTTTTTTTTTTTTATTTTACATTTGATTATAAACTATATAAGAGGAGATAACCCTCTCCTATTTCGAAAGCCTTCTCACCCAACTTAAAACTCAAATTTAAGATCTACATTTTAAAATCTCAAACCTTTAACTGTTAAGTGACTCCATTAAGGTTGAGATTTATTTCGGTATATAACTTCATTAATTAATATTTTGAAAGCTTTTAAAATTTTCCTTAACTTACCCAACAGTAAAAAAATATTTTAAAAAATTAAGTTACATTTTTCCAAGCAAACAGACGCCCAATGTCCTTTTTTATGATAGATTTATCTATCTTGTATTTTAAACCATAATTATATAATTATTATAATATTTTTATTTTAAAAATTATAAATTTAATTTTTATTTTAATTATATATATCACGTATTAGTTTTTTATTGGTTCATTTTAAAATTAAGATCAAAATTTATTTTTTTAATTTAAAATCTCATATTTTTAAAAAAATTAATAATTATTACATAATAATTAGATTTTATTATGCACCTTTATGTCACAAGACAGATACATCCTTTTATGATATTCTGAAAAGATTTGAAAGAGGCGTGTGGAGCAAAAATGGTTATCTTATACGACATCGTATAGGCATAACACTTCTGCTCTACAACGGCGAATATTAAACCCTCGCTCAACCCAAACCTTGACTTCACGTTTGGATTGTGCCGTGGTGGATTGTGAATTCACGCGAAATTTGCGGATGAATTCAGTCACGGGTAGCCATCAAGGATATGATTATGATGATTGATGATGAATGGAATGTTATGCACATGTATACATGCTCTTATAGATGATAATGATCATGCTGTATATCTATATATATCTCTATATGCATAAAAATGGCGATGATTATGATGATGGTTTGGCTGTGGATGTGATGTCCATTAATATTTGGAAGGATCGGAGAAGGCGCGGGCGTACGAGTGCTGAACGCGGTGGCGGCATTTGTTGCAGCGGAAGAGCTTGTCGGAGAAGCCGACCTCCCCGCACATGCAACAAACAGTCTGAAGATCCACCATTGTTGAAGGCTCCGAGGCGGCGAAGAGAGACTGAAGATGAAGGGATAAGTAACAGAAAAGAGTGATGATTTCAAGGTTGTTGTATAAATATATAAAGAGATGGGGGAAAAATGAAAATAAATAAAATTAAAAAATTAAAGAAAATTAAAACATTTTAACGTTATGTAAAATGTCAATAAATGATAATAAAAAAATTAATATATATATTTAATAAATTAATATATAAAAAATTTAATAAAAATATTTATATAAAATTATAAAAAATTTTAATATTTAAAGTGTTAAAATGTTTTAACTTTTATATTTTTTTTGTTATAAAATAAAACAAAATAAAAAAAAATAAATAAATAAAAGAAAAAATAAATAAAAGGTCGACCACAGGTTGGTTGCAGTCGTTTTCCGTTATTTTGAGAGAATTGTGAACCTTAAATATTTAAAATTTGAAATTGACGATTATGACCTTTGGGGGGTTTAACACTTTAACTACTCACCTATGCCTATTATTTTTTTTGGTACATAAAGGGAGAGGGGTACCTATGCCTATTATTATTTTTTAATTTTGCTCTCTTTTGTCTCTTCTGGTTCTTTTCCTTTTTACCATTGATAATTTGCGAGTTGAAGGTACTCGGACACGCACCTATAGTGCGCTTGCCCAACAACTCTTTTTTTGTCCTCTTTCTATTTTGCCATCACAACCTCAACAATCGTGTGGTTGATTTTCTTAGTTTCTCTTGAGGAGGTATTTTATATATATATATATATATATGTATAAAAATAAAAGTTAGTTATGAGATATTCTTCGTGCCCAAGTCTTAACTCTTTTTTTAATATAATCAACATGTTTGTGATGATATTGCTATGAAAATTTGCTATGGTTAAAAAAAGTCATTAAGATTAACATAAAATGAGTAGGGGGCTCTATTTTATTTTATTTTTTAAAATAAATATGAAATTAAAATTCTCTTATTTTATAAATTTTTACTAACATAAATAAACACTCATTATTACTTTATAAAAAATTATTATATAATTTAAACTATAAGAAACTATACAAAAATGACAATTAAATGAGAAATAAACCCTTTAATATAGGAATATAAGATCCTCTTCCATCCTAGTATTTTTATGTAGGTTAAAACCTTATTTTGGTCCTCAATTATTGTACGAACTTTTAATTTGATCCTTAAACTAAAAAAATCTATGATTTAGTTCTTAATGTTTACAATTTTAACCACAATTTAGTCTTTTTATTAAAAATTCACCTACATGTATAGTTACTTGACGGGAAAAGATGACATGTAAAAGTATCTTGACACATAGGACTGATAATGGGATAAAACATACATGACATGCAATTTTTAGTTAAAAATTAAAAGTTAAATTATAAATAAAACTAATTAAAATTACATTTTTACTCTCATCTTTAACCACACATCACTTTCTTTCCTTTGTCCTTTCGTTGTCCTTTACTTTTCATCTCGAACATTGTTCATCTTCTTCCCCTAGATCCTTGTTTGCTAGCTTGGGTTTTAATCATCTCCTTATCATCTCTTTCCTCATCTCATCTTCTTCATCTAAACCTTTTCATCAAGCTTGCTGGGGGTTCGAACCCCAGCAAATTTGTTGGGTGGGTATTGCGTTCTACTAGGTTCTTGAGAACCAAACACCTAGCAATCTGCTAGGTTGGGTTCGATCAAACCTAGTAGAATGTTGGGTTGTCGAGAACCCAACGATTTGCTCAATCTGATCGAACCCAATGTTCTGCTGGGTTCTTGAGAACCCAACGATTTGCTAGGTTCGATCGAGAACCCAGTGATTTGCTGGGTCCGATCAAACCCAACGATCTACTAGGTTGGGTTCGATTAAACCTAGTGTTTTGTTGGGTTCTTGAGAACCTAGTGATCTGCTGATCTATTGGGTTCCATCGAACGTAACAATCAAACCTAGCGATGCTTTGGTTGTTGTTTTTTTTTTTTTTTGTGAAATTTGGGAGAAGATGCCTTGATTTTTCTGGGTTTAATTTAGGGTCAGTGACTATCTTGGGGATATTCCAAATTTATGTTTGGGTTTATGTTTGTATTATCTTTGGATTTAATATTAGAAGGTATTAGGGTTTGCAGAAGGCGAAAGGAAGGGAACAGGAAGAAGAAAGGGAAAAAGGAAGATTAAAGGAAGAAAAAAAAAGGGGGAAAATGAAAATTTTTTAAGGTTTTTTTTGCCATGCCATTGTTTTTGTCAGGCTGGACATCTTATGTGTCAAGATACTTTTACATGTCATCTTTTTCTGTCAAGTAACTTTACATGTAAGTGAATTTTGAACAAAAGAACCAAATTGAGGTTAACATGGTAAACAGTAGGGATTAATTAAAGAGTTTTTTTAGTTCAGGGATTAAATCACAGGTCTGTACGATAATTGAGGGACTAAAATGAGATTTTAACCTTTTATGCATTGTATTATAATAGAAAATGATATAAAGATAAATTTTTTTGTAATTTTTTATATAACATTTATATATTATTAAATAAATAAATATAATCAACATTATAAATTTTAAATAAATAAAAATTTAATCATTAAAGTAACATGTAAAATTATCTTTTAAAAGTATCAAAAAATTTTCTTAAATCATTTTTTTAACATATTTGATAAAAATAAATTATAAAAAATAATTTTTTTCTTAAATTTCTTTTTATTTAACTCAAAATTTAAATTTAAATTTTAAAATTTTAATCATTAAAACACTTTAAGAGTTAAATTATTTTCCTATTAGGAAACGAGAGAATCGTTACTTTATCTAAAGGAAGAACATGATATTTTGATAAGGCGGTTGTGCTGCATGCGCAATTTGAGGGAGTGGATAAGGAGGTTGTCGGGAGCAGTGAAGTGATAAAACCGTGAAAAGAAAATTCGGGGTTTAAAGCCAACTGTCGTCCCTCTACTTTAATATTTTATTCGTTCTTGTCGTCCCTTTACTCTCCAAAGAGCCAAAACGTCGTCCCTCTACTTGGCTTTTTTTGTTCGTTGTCGTCCCTCCACTAACACCGTCCATGTTGCCGTCACTGCTGACCGTTAAGTCCCAAACGGTCAGCAGTTAAACCCATCTCTTTTTTCTTTTTCCACATATGCTGCCTCACTCAGCCAGCAGAGCAGCCATGCTGGTCAGGATCAACACCCTGCTCCAGGGATACTCTGGCATTCGATTTGAAATTTTAGAGGCAATCACAAAGTTCCTCAACCAGAACATCACTCTATGCTTGCCACTCCGCGGCACAATCACCGCCTCCGGCGATCTCGTTCCCCTGTCCTACATAGCTGGATTGCTTACGGGCCGTCCAAATTCTAAGTCGGTAGGACCCAACGGAGAAACCTGTAAGGGCAGCCACACGAGACAAGACAAGGTGCAGAGCTCAGAGCTAACCACACCTCGACTGCAGAGCTCAAAGCTAACTGCACCTCGGCACTTCGCCGTGGGTGTATGACAGCCACAATAGGCACACCCTCATCTGATCATTTGTCTGTACTAGAACACCCCTTCTCAAGGAACCTGCTCCGCCAGAACGCACAACGCGCATTTAATGCGGTTGCTCCGTTAAGGCACGTTACACTCACCTAAAACGTCTACTCCGTCAGGCGCACCATGTCACCATTATTGGATTGACTAGGCCACGTGGGTATGGACGGGCCACGTGGGTGCCTTGCCAAGCGGGACAAAGCCTACAAGGTAAGACTCGATAAATAGGCGGAACAAAAAGAAAAACATGATAAGAGAAAAATACTAACTTAAGCATCGGAGTTTCTCCCCGAGGACAAACCTCGGGATTTTGCAGGACCATTTGAAGAAGAATCGACTTGAAGCAGGAACTCAAGGATATTCAGCAACAACATTGGCGCCGTCTGTGGGAAACCGAACAAAAGTCATCACCAGAAGTTAAGATGGTACGCACACGAACAACCCAGCGCGAGAGTCCCCCCAGAGGCCAAGGAAGAGGCCAGCCCCCAAGCGTCAACCCCGGGTCACAGAGTGCACCGGTTGCAGCCCCCCAACATCAGCAGACAGAGGGAGTTGGGGAACATAATCCACAATATCCCAACGCTATAGCAAGCGACCCTGTGACCGCTCAACTCAATGCCATGCAACAACAATTCGGGGTCTTCCTGCTAGTACTTGCCCAGCTGTTGGCCAGAGATAACCCCGCTGACCCACTTATTCACTTATTGAACCCAGCTCCCCCCGTGGCTCCCCAACCAGTTCAACAGCCTGCCAACTCCCCGGTCCGTAGTGCCGCCCCAAACGCTTCTCAAGCACAATCTCACATGCTACCTCAGCCACAAAACCCGCCTCAACCAGCTGCCTCAGATGTCTCAAAGAGGCTAGATAACCTAGAAAAGCTGCTAGCCGAGAACAAAGATCCACAACCGCAGACCCCACCTGTATCAGCCTCCATCCCCACTCCCCTCAGTATCAAAATCACCCAAGAGCCATATCCACCCGGTTTCAGGATGCCGCAGTTTGAAACATATGACGGCACTAAAGACCCTGATGACCACTTGCATGCATTTTTCTCCATCATGCAGGCTCAAAATGCCTCAGACGCACTTATGTGCAAGATGTTCCCCTCCACATTGCGCGGCAATGCCCGGACCTGGTATCACACCCTGCGTCCGAACTCAATTAATGCGTATGCCGAGCTGGCCACCCTCTTTGCCACCAAATTCTCAAGCAGAAGGTTGATCAAAAAGACGACACCCGAGCTCATGCGCATAACGCAAAGAGAAGGCGAATCCTTGAAGAACTATATGAACAGGTTCAACGACGCCATGCTGGAGGTCAATGCCTTCGATGAAGCAGTGGGAATAACTGCCGTGATGCAAGGCCTTAACCATGATCGGTTTCGGGATAACTTAATCAAGAACACCCCAACCACTTTTGACGAAGTCAACCAGAGATCCCTCAAGTTCATTAAGGCTGAAGAGTACGTCCTCTCCAAACCCCAGCCCCCCAAAGAAGCTAGAACCCCCACCTGGAGAGACGAAAGCCAGAGCAGGAAGAAGTTCAAACCCACACAGAACCGAGGCCCAATTCCGGTCCCTAAGCTAGATAGGCCCTGCTCCAGCACCCCGCAAACGCGGCCTACGCCGCCCTCATGGACCTCCTTCACAATTCCGAGGTCGCAAATTCTCATGCAAATCAAGAATAAGATGGAGATGAGGAGACCAAACCCCCTACAGAGCCCAGTGACAAGCAGAGACCACACCAGATACTGTGACTTTCATCAAGATCACGGACATACCACGGAAGAGTGCAAAAGTTTGAAGTCCGAGCTGGAAAGTTTAGCCCGGAAAGGGATGTTGAATGAATACATCCAGAGCAGAAATTTGCCAAAGTTTGTCAAAGAACAGGGGCAACCCCAGGGGCCCTGAGCATCAAACAACAGAGATGGAGTAGGATACCAACAAGCGCCACCACCTCTCCCACCACCATCCAGAATTATACACATGATAACAGGCGGACCCAAAGCAGGTGGCACAAGCGCCAAACAGCAAAAGCTGTACGTAAGGGAGGTCAGACACTATAATGCAGCCCAGAAAAGGAAGATCGACGAGGAGGATTGGAAAAACCAATCTGTGACATTCACTTCGGCCGACCTCGAGGGGGTCGTCACGCCCCATAACGACCCATTAGTCACCTCGGTCATCATTAACAACTGCGAGGTCTAGCGAGCGCTCATTGACACCGGCAGTGCTCCAGACATAATGTATTATCACTGCTTTGAGAGCCTCGGACTCGACCCCGCCCTCCTGCAAAAGTATGATGGGCCCATCTACGGCTTCAATAACCAGCCAATACTCGTGGAAGGAGTGCTGCGACTCAACGTGACGTTCGGCTCCGGACGAACGTATGTAACACCCTCAGTCAGATTCCTGGTAGTGAAGATGTCTTCATCTTTTAATCTCGTCATCGGGAGGCCAACTTTGACCGAGATTCGAGCTATAGTGTCCCAGTCCCACCTCTGCATGAAATTCCCCACGCCAATGGGGGTAGCAACCTTGCGAGGCAATCAAGAGGCGGCCAGGCACTGCTACATGACCTCCGTCGCGAGGTCACGAAGAAATAAGGAGGTAGTCCCATCACCAGAGGCACCCCAACCAGAGGCCCCGAATACCCAACAGGTAATGGGTGTAGAGCTGCCAGATAACAGACCAGAGGATAACCCAAGAGCCACCCCGGTCGAGGAGGTCGAAGAGGTGCAACTTGATGATAATGACCCATCCAAGAAGACTCAGATCGGCACGAAGCGGACTCCCATAGAAAAAGAAGAACTTGTGGGCTTCCTAAAAGCAAACAAGGATGTGTTTGCATGGACTTCGGCTGACATGCCTGGAATCCCAACTTCGGTGGCAGTACACAAACTCAGCACTAATCCTTTGCGGAAGCTAGTAGCACAGAAGAGACGGCTTTTCGGGGGGGAAAGACTCACGGCCATTAAGGAAGAAGTTAAGAACCTCTTGCAAGCAGGGTTTATCGGGAGAGTAGATTACTGCGAATGGATTGCCAACCCTGTCATGGTAAAAAAGTCAAACGGGAAGTGGCGCATGTGCATCGATTATACCAACCTCAACGACGCCTGCCCTAAAGACTATCATCCCATGCCGAGCATAGACAAGCTGGTAGAGGCCGCCTCAGGGAATGAGAGGTTAAGCCTCTTGGATGCTTACTCGGGGTATCATCAAGTCCGCATGGCAGCCGAGGACAAGGTGAAAACCTCATTTTATGCCGGAGATGAAATATACTGCTATGTGATGATGCCGTTTGGGCTCAAGAATGCAGGGGCAACATACCAGAAAATGGTCACAATCGTGTTTCGGGCTCAAATTGGCAGGAACCTGGAGGTCTATGTAGATGACATTGTTGTCAAAAGTTCTCAAGCAGAAGACCACTTGACCGACCTGGCCGAGATGTTCAACAACCTTAGAAGGTGCAGCATGAAGTTGAAACCAGCAAAGTGCACTTTCGGCGTTGAATCAGGCAAGTTTCTGGGTTTTATGGTTTCCAGAAGGGGGATAGAGGTCAACCCTGAGAAGATAAAGGCAATAGAAGAAATGAAACCGCCGAGGTCAACCAAGGACGTGCAACGCCTGGCAGGGAGAGTAGCAGCACTGCACAGGTTTATCTCCAAATCAGCAGATAAGTGTTTGCCTTTCTTTAAGGTCTTGAGAACTGCAGCTCAGAAGGATGAAACGGGAAAACCCCAGAAGTTCAACTAGACGACGGAGTGCTAGGTGGCTTTTGACGAGCTCAAAGCCTACCTCGGCTCGCCGCCTTTGCTGACTAAGGCTCAGGAAGGTGAAATCCTTTATCTCTACCTCGGAATATCTGATACTGCTGTCAGTTCTGTCTTGGTCAGGGAAGTGGGGAAACAACAGCAACTAGTATACTACGCCAGTAAGGTGTTGCAGGGGGCTGAGCAGAGGTACTCGATAGCAGAGAAGGCAGCCCTAACAGTTGTTGTTACTGTAAGGAAGTTGAGGCCATATTTCCAATCCCATCCTATTATTGTGATGACTGATCAGCCTCTAAGACAAATTTTGCAGAAACCAGAATGCTCCGGGAGGCTCATCAAATGGGCAGTAAAGCTGGGAGAGTTTCAGATAGCATTCCAGCAGAGGTCGACAATCCGAGCTCAAACCTTGGCAGATTTCGTGGTCGAATGCACTTCTAATCAGGTGGAGCCAAATTCTGAAGTAGAAACATGGACCTTGTATGTCGATGGATCATCTAATAACAAGGGTTCAGGAGCTGGAGCAGTGTTAACTGGACCTGACTGCTTCCGGAGTGAACACGCTTTGAAGTTCAACTTCCAGGCCACAAACAACGTGGCCGAGTACGAAGCCCTCCTCCTGGGACTACGTCTGGCGGTCGAGCTCAAAGTCAAACGCCTGCAGATTTACAATGACTCACAGCTGGTAGTTAACCAAATCAATTCTATGTGCGAAGTCATTGATCCCATCCTGGCGAAATATGTGGTCGCAGTCTCCGAGCTGAAAAACCGTTTCGAGAAATTCCAGCTTACCAAAATTCCGAGAGCAGAAAATGAGCATGCAGATTCCTTGTCGAAATTGGCATCTGAGAACTTTGGGGAAGCAAAGTCTGTGTACATCGAGATACTGAATGAACCCAGCTTTCAGACGTCGGGGGTAATGGAGATTAGCACTGACCTAGATGCTCCGAGTTGGACAGACCCCATCCGGGAGTACCTCCTCAATGGCACCGTCCCGGAGGACAAACAGGAAGAGATGAAGTTACGAAGAAAAGCCTCTCGGTACACCCTGGTTGGCGACATTCTGTACAAGAGGTCCTACTCGTTACCACTCCTCAGATGCCTGACACCATATGAAGCAGAGTATGCACTAAGAGAAGTACACGAGGGGGTATGCGGTAATCACGTGGGAGCTCGAACTCTGGCACATAAGGTACTCCGGCAAGGGTACTATTGGCCCAACATGCAAGAAGACGCAAAGAAGTTCGTGCAGAGGTGCCAGAAATGCCAGTTCTTCGCCCATTTCACCCATCAGCCAGCCGAAGAACTCACCAGCCTGACTGCACCATGGCCCTTTGCTCAATGGGGAATAGACCTTCTGGGCCCCTTCGTCAAAGCAGTAGGGGGAGCAACACATTTAGTGGTCGCCGTTAATTACTTCACCAAATGGGTAGAAGCCAAACCTCTCTCTTGTCTGACTTCGAGAAGAATTGAGGATTTCCTCTTCAGCTCGGTCATCTGCAGATATAGGATACCAAACCAGATCATCGCTGATAACGGCCCCCAGTTCAATTGTACCTCCTTCAGGGACTTCTGCTCCAGCTACGGGATTAAGTTGGTGTTCACCTCC